ATAGAAAGTTAGAGCTTTTAGCCCAAACACCCCATCGAGTGCACGTTCGGCATTAAACAAATCGAATTGTCTTTCAGATATAACATATTTCGATGGCATTTGTGTTGTCCGTGAAAAGGCTCAACAAATCATACTTATTTCAGATACTGACTACAGATTCAACTGCCAAGTGGTTGACATTTAACTATACAAACGTGTATGTGCTGCCATTGTTATTCTTGGCTTTGGTTTGACATTGGTGCTCATCATGTAGACAAACATCTCTGCTCCGCTAATAATGCCATTTTTACAGCAACCTAAGGTCAGACATTAGGTAATTGTTGTTTATTGGAAAATGTCATGTTCAATTAGTCGATCGATCGGTCGACCAATATGACGCAAAGAGTTGGAAATCTTTGAATGAAAATGTATGTTAGCAAATTTAGCTACGGACAAAATAGAACAGGTTCCACGGTCACTTCCCAATCCCATGTAAAAGTCCCAGCCTGAGGTGTAAGCCCCCCTTCCTCCACGCATTACAATACTTTACGCTTTGTAAGCCATTAAGACAATAGCCCTGAGTAAGCCGGAAATATGGCCCCCGGGTGGGGAAAATTCGGCCTGGCTCCAATTACGAGCTAAACTCGGCTTAGCGTAAAACTGCAGCTTAATGAATCACTTCAATGACAATGCCGGGGCCAAAATAAAACTTAATGATAACACACAATTAGTCGAGCAGTTAATGAGAATGCGGGGACTGAAAGTCTTCGAGGGGGTGAGGGGGAGGGAATGGGGGCAAAGATTATTCCATGAATGCTTTCTGAAACAAAAAAAAACAAAAGCCAACCTTGTCCCTAAACATGTAGCTCTACTAACAATTATAATCAAAACATTAAATATCACATAAAAATTCTAAATAAATGTTTGGGGAATATTGAGCCCGAAAAGGTTAAATAAATAATCTAAAAAACGTTGGCTTAAGTTTCGATTTTAAATATGCCAGTTAACGGAAATGCGCATTGTAAAATCATGATGATCTTTATCACAACCTAGGCCGAAATGTCTTAATGACAGGGGAATAACAGGGAAAAGAATTTATCGTATTGTTACAAAAAGGATATGGTAGAAGTGGTAGTGGTATTTTAAGGTGGGGAAATTATCCATAATGGATGTTATTTATTAGAGTAGTAAACTCTTTAAACTACGGCAATGTACACAGATGTGTGGATGATTTATTTGAAGTGCAGGACCCGGAATGCGCCCACCTATTCACTGGCAGAAATTTGTAGGACCCTATTATCATTTTGTTTTGCATGTTATTCTTATTTAAAGAATAAGGTGCAGTCAAAACCATATTTTAATATTCAAATTCTTCCATATAACATTGGTTATGCAATATTTTCTATTCATTGGCTTTTTCGGTAAAAATTTGATGTCAAAACAATTCATGCATAGCTTCGATTCGATTTTTGTCTGTGTGCATAAAGTTGGTATTTAAGCAAAGCCTAAAGCTAATGGCGATCATGTTGGCGTGCCAGGCACATATCTGTAACGCAAAGTCTCAAAAGAGTTAAGCTGAATAAAAGTGAACTGAAACTTAAAACCGAAACCGAGAGCGAAACAAAATTGACTTGGCTCATGGCTAAAATACGGCTAATTGCCGAACGACGTGTGGTGTGTAGAAATTAGCTCCAATGCTAAAGTTAGAGCGCTTTATTCAAATTGGTGCAAACTCATTTATCAGGCGGAGCAATTACGGCTCTTCTCTGCCATTATAGTCTCGGTTTCAAGAGCTGAAACTGAAATGGAAACAAAAAACACAAGACATATTGAAACATAGCCTTCTTAATGTTTTTCGAAGACTTGAGTTCTATGTCAATTATTTAATGCGAGTTGATGAACAAATTGCCAACTGCATGTGGAACAATTGATCTTGTGTGCTTGGCATAAATAAACCACTCCCACACAATCGCCACCCCTTAGAAATTGGTATTTGAGGCACGTTCGTGTTTAAGTCTTTTGTTTCGTTTTCGTTTTCGTTTTTGGATTTGTTTTTTTATTTTTGAGCCTGACATTTGGCGCTGCAGAATTCTTCTGCCTTTATTGGTCAAGTTAAATGTCAACCGCTTGCTTTGAACTTTAAAGTTCAAGTGTACAACAGGCATGCCCAACAAATTTTATTAATATTTTTTCCAACAGTTTTTTCCTTTTCATTTATTATTGACTTAAGAATGCGGAAGCTACGCAATCATATATTTTTAGTATGATCGGAGGAAAGATTGTATTTTTATCATTTGGAATGAGAAATATTTAGCAGACAAATTTCTAATTATTTACACATTAATCCAAATAATTAGTATATTCTGGCAGTTTAAAATCTATTTCAAGACACGCAATTTCTATCTCGATAAAGCCCCGCCACGGGTATACATATATTAAATTTATTAAATTATGCTGTGGCACTTGTTTGTAATTTTTAGCGGCAGGCATTCGCCCTATTCGTGGGGACATAATTAACATATAAAGAAACATTGTTCCGATCTAATATTGTCTTACAAACCAATCACGCTTACATAGCAGAAAATTAAAACAAGGATAAAGCATAGACCAAGAACAAAGAAATTAATTATTGTTATTCATATGAGCGTTGCAAATAAATACGTGGCATAAGCTGACTGAGTGGTTAGTCTTGAAAAGCGATTCACGCTGACTCGTCCGAGTATATATGTCTTTAAACGTACAATTCTTACCTCCTCTAGTATCTCAGACACCCAATCGCAATATGTATCCCAATAACAACTGACATTGACCGCCTGCATCGCCGGCCGGCTTCGCTTGAAAACCACTTGGAAAACCTCGACTGCAGCTTGCAGCTGAGTCATTATCATTATAGCATAACAAACCATCATGCCGAAGCTGGCCAGATTCTTTTTGGCCAAGTCAAGTGCAATCGAATTGCAAATGAAGACAACTGTAGTGGCTGACTTGCAGCCTCGAGCTTGTCTCGCCTCAATGCGGAACAACATGACAAAAAGGTGGTAAGCTAAAAAGTAATAATACGGCAAATAGAAATAAAGACATGGGCAAAAGTCGCATTAAAATGCAACATAAAAAGCAGCTAATTGCAAACATTTAGTTTAGTATGCAAGCTGCTGTAACGACCTCGTAAATAATCGACGTTACAGCTGTCATTGTGAAAATCCTGCACCCTCTAGCTAGTTGATGTTTAAATACCAAAGGTCGGTAAACGCCTATATTACTTACTGTAGGAATATTACATGAGGATGTTTGTATGTTTATAAAATATGTAGTTTTGCAAGTAGAACAGAGTAGTTAGGCCATTTTGTTAGTTTTGAGTGTTTGAAGCCTTTAAGACTTGATCAACACCAAGCTCATAAAACCCATGGAGTATAATCCACTCCAAAAGTCACTTTCATCTAACCTGTTGTGAAAGTGTCGACACTTGCCGCTTTGCACCTTTGATTTGGAAAGTTATGAGGCGCTGAGTTAAAGCTAAAGCGGTGGACACGATCACAACCCACAGTCATAGCCGTAACTTTGTTAACACACTTGCGGCGCTGTATGTACCAACAAAGTGCCGGAAAAGCGTACACTGCCGCTGATGAGTTGCCACAGGAGAGTGCGATTTGCAAAACCGAGGGAATAGATGATGCCAGCCAGCCGATTGTGCGGAATGGGGAGTACTTCAAAAATGGGGAGTACTTCAAAAATGGGGAAGATAAAAAAGAATAGGGTCGCGTGGGAAAATTTGGCGAGATACATGGTACATGGTATTTGATACCCTTTACTCCACTAATGAGAGTGCGCGGGTGATGTCAGTAAGTCAATAAGTCAATAAGTCAGTAAGGGAATCGACTCTTTGAGATCGCACACATTCACCATCTATCGGCGTTTAAATTTATTCGTTTTTTCTAAAGTACTTCGGATAATTCGGTAAGATTTGGAAAATTGTTGTCCGTGGGATATCGGTGGAATACGAATTTATTGCGAAGAAGAAGTCTTCTAAGTGTGGTGTGACATAGCACCTAATGGAACAGTGTTTTGCTAGCATCGTCTGTACTAATAGTGATCATTTATAGTGGGAAAGCTATAATTTGATTATTATTTTTTATGGTGGACGCATAAAGGCGGCCATTTTACGCCCACTTAGACACGCATCCCATCGCTCCGTTGCTTATTGCACCACACACACATAAGCAGTAACGATGTGTTAATTATACGGCCAACGCCCACGACGCAATCAAATACAATTGTACATATAGTCAAGCACAACTGGGGGACTGAAAACTATAAAAAAATTAAAGAAGAGCCGTGGAAAAAATAAAAAATAATGACGACCGCAATGTGCAATTTTGTTGTAAGTGACTAAATAGACTTGCTCATGTCATGATGATCGCACAATGATATGGTTATACACATAAAAATATGTATGTATAAAGTGAACACACACCCGGGGCTTTTGTTGCAAGCACGACACGCTCAATTTAACGCTTATGCCCCATTGTACTAAACAATCTACACGGACATCTGCATAAACATCTACATCGACATCATTATCGCCATCAGGGTCATCGTGTCTTAAGATTTTATTTAAACAATATAAGCTCAGAGCCCATGTCCGCTAAAAAGCCAAAATTGTACATACGAGATTATACGGCCGAAAATTTAAAAAATATTTCTAATTAAAACTAAAACATTTTTATTTGAATAAGAAATGGTTTGGCGATATTTTAATTGATGCTTTTCCTAATACGGGCAGTGTTGAACGACCTTGCCCTAAAAACCGAAATTAAAATTTGGAATTTCATATGCTCATTGCAAAAACTAAGAAAAAGTTAACAAAATCCGGAGCGACAGCCGATTGCAAATTTAAAGTAACGATTCTAACAGTCTACTTTAAAGAGGGGCCTCTTGCGAATATTAAGGATCCGAGCGCCTCTAACCTTTTACGTAGATTTCTTCAACAGATTTTTGATTTCTCCTCATTTGAAATTTTTCAGACGAATTTCCGGAAGAGGAAAGCGACATGCTGATGGAGCCAAATGATTTTTCGCCAATCACTGTATTGAAATCGCATGAACAACACTTCCATATGCCGCCCACAACGCAACTTCAACCACAAATTCAAACCAGAATACATCCCAGAATTCAACCCAGGAAATTTCAATCCGCAGCCCAACAAAATGCCGATGGGGAGGAGCCATTCCGACCCATTGCTAATCCAAATACGAAAATAGTTGGGGATTCCCATACGCAGGCTGCCCAAAATTTTTATCCACCATTCTACCATGAGGCTCCTCCATTGGGCCACTCCAGACCCTATTTTGGTCACGGTCCGCCTGTATCGGAAACAACTCCTTTATCCCTACCCCTTCCACTCTTGGCAACTCAACAACAACAGCCAGCAACTCAGCAGCGGACTTTCGATGCCAGTATACTTGGAAGCGGGGATTTTGGTGTCCTTAGAGGTGGAACCTTCTATCCGGAGGAGGAAATGCCCTATCATCCCGAAGATAACAGTGATTACATCTATGGAGACGCTAACAATGGACACGGTCGTCCATCCGAAGGATTTGTGCAGAAGTACACATATCCAGAGGAGCAGTTCGCAAATTTCCGCGATTTTGCCGATATCAACACACCCGCTGATACGGCATTTTCGCAGTTTGTGGTGGTCTATGCAGCCAAAAATGCCACTGCACCACACTCACATCCGCATCCCAAAAACATATTTGAACAGTTGGAGCAGCTGGACAGGGAAAAAGAGCTGAAGAAGACCGAATTCGAGGGCAAAACTTCTTCGAAAATAAAGTCGAAACTGTCGAAGACAAAGTTGCAAAAGAAATACCGCAAAAAGGCGGCTCCCAAAGTGCAGGATCCTCAAGACATAGAGCCCTTATTAGCTCTGAGTTAAGCGTCAAAAAGAAGAAGCCTAAAAAGAAAGCACCCAAACTTTCGATTACCGTTGTTAGTTTTATTTATTATATATCGAGATAAATGCAAGCCGCAACAAAATGTAATAGCCACCCCACTCCATGTCCACAAATGCAAGCACTTTACCATAACATAAACATATATTATTTCTGTTTTTTTTTGTCTGTCTGCTTTTAATCTCGCACTGTTTGTTAAATTTTAAAACTAGCCTGTAGTCTACTACATATATATATATATATTATATAGATATATATATCTTAATGATTTATTCGCAATTATAATGTAGTTCTTTTTTGTCTAATTAAGCATAATTTTATTATGTGTGTGTACATAAAAACAGATATGATAATTGTAATTTTAAACTAAATAAAAATGATTTTTAAAAAATAGTACATAAATATTCATTTAATAAATGCCTTTATTTATCCATAAAGGCTGACTTCACTTATATGAGCCAACGTATTGTGTTTAATGCGTTTCGTATTTTGCGTAGAGAGCGTTCATCAATGTCGTAAAGGAGCCGGCTGTGCGAAATATCTTTAAATAATAATGAAAAAATTCAAAATATATATTTCAGATAGTAAACCAACAAACTTTACAACAACAAACTCAACAACAAAATTAAAATGTTAATACCATGAAAAATAATATGCTTACCCAAACAAGAAGAGGTCTGCCCAGTTCGAAAAAATAAGCACCTAAAACCGTTTGTCGCTGGGCGCGCTCAAGCGGAAAAAGGAAAAGCTTCCGGTGTTGTGGAGAAAGGTTTTGCCAAGGAATTACTTCGTATAGCAGCCCGGAAAATCGCTCAGCCTCCAACCGGACCTGTTCGGCACCGAAAAGATAGATGCACAGCTGGGTCGTAACTACCATCGAAAAGAAACCCAGAAAGGCGAAGTTCTGGTTGGTGTGTGGCATTATATACTGGCAAATTACTGAACAATAGAGCACACAGATTACCACAACCTCCACAAAAGCGATCTCCATAAAAGTTGAATTAAAATATTGGACTAATTTAAGCAGTCGAGCGTGCTCGACAAAAATACCACTTAATCCGAAGTCAGAACGAGATGGATTAAAGCAGGAGCGTATCCTTTTAAGTTGTTGGCCGAGGCGGCGGTATTGGGAACTCAAGCCTAAAGCGCACCATCCATATAAGGTATCAACTCCGGTGGTGGAGCAGCAAAAGAAACTTAACACAAATACCATTAAGCAGCAGTCCATGGCGTAAACATGCGGTTGAGTCACGTCGTATGGAAGGCTGTGATTAGAAGAAAAAAGTATCTTAGTACATAATTACAAAAAATTACAAAAAAAAAAAGAGCTGGCAACTGATAGAAACCATCAACGAAGTCCACCCATAGACTCAAATGTTCATACTTATTTAAGATAACTCACAGCACCCGGAACGAGCTGACAGGCGCGAACTCCCCAGTGGAACGATACTTAAGCATGGTCAAAGCCACTGGCATCAACAGAAATGACACACTCGTGCCGGCACACATCATAAAGTAAATGGCAGCCATTAATTGTCCCCTCCGATTTAGCGATCTCCACTCGGTATCCCCAAGATCCTCCTCCGTAAAGGGCGCCATTATCTGTTGAATTAGAAGCACCAGGTCGTGGGATTTGGCCAAGAATATAGTCATCTTCAGTAGCGAGGAGACCATCTGTAACCCGTGCATCAGGGCCTCGGAAAAAAGCACGATTTGGTTGCGATGTTGGCCCATGAAGGCGCACACGGTGCAGAGCTCAAAGCCCGTGGTCAGACACATAATACCATAAAGAAGCGGAGATCGCAAAACTTTGCCCTTTTTGTCGGGCTGCAAATCCAAGCCCATTCGGGCGAAGGTAAACCGCTGCGTCCACAGATTCCCCAAAAACACCTCGATTAGCTTTGACATTTCGTTCTCTACTGAGTGCTGGGAAATCTAGACTAAGAATGATTACCCATTTAAGTGTATTTAAAAATGTTTTGGGGGCTGGCTAGAAAAACTTTGAACAAAACTCTGTTGTCGCCTAATTAGACTTTAAAACACAAGATAATTTAGTGTCACGGGTAAACGGAAAAACTTGGCTAGGTAAAACGGGTTGGTTTGGCTAGCAAATGGTTTAATTATACGCTCGATGTGACTGTCTGTCTAAAAGCCCACAAAGCACCTGGGCAAAAAGTACCTAGCACGTTGGTGCAAGATTATTATTGGACACATTTAAGTTACAAGTATATGATGTTATTCAATACAATACACAGTGTTTCCATATACTTGGTTTTAGGATTTATTTATGTATATATGCCTTTGATAAATATCACCTACTGCAAGCATGCATAACTATCAGTTATCCTTTGTTAACAATTAAGAAACACATTGCGTTTATTTTCATTTTTTGTATTCGTAAATGTATATTTACAAATTTCACCCCGCCGTTCATCATAGCTAACCGTAACAATTATGGTCTTACCGCCTCCGTTTTTATATTTATATACCAGTCGTGTATACCATCGTCATGGTCGAGTCAGCCAGTAGTTTTTTATATTACTGATATACCTTTTAAATTATTGATTAACGTGCTTGTATGCTTATTCCAAAATTCGACATATCTTTTAATATCCGGAGGCTGATATTTATTGATTTATGTATTTTTTAAAGATTTGTTTCCAGTTTGTTGTTTAGTTGTAAATTGTTTAGTGTAAAATTCTAGCAAATAGAGCAAAACCGGAAGAATAAAAAGAAAAAAATCTATTATTAACATTCAATTCCATTTGTGGCATTTTTCTGCTTTGTTTTTTTCGGTTTTTTGGTTTCGTGCCGTTGAAAACTTTATTGATATCCAAATCGTGAGCGTAATTGAAATTTATTGTTAATAAAAACGAAACGAAACTAACTATGATCACTTGACACGAAAGAACAACACCAGAACATCCAAAATGACTTTGAACCGATTCGCCCACCGAAGTCACGAGTTCCTAAGTCAAAATAAGTAAGACTATTTTAAATTTGGCATTTTAACGCTTATTTTATTGGCATAATTGAAAGGTTGGAAACAGAATCCGTCGATGTATAATTCGTGCAAACAGGTGCCCATTATTTAATAACATTGAATCCATTTATATTCATATTTATAATTTCAATGATTCAATAAATAAATTATTATAAATATCAAATGTACAAAAAGTAGATAAAAAATAATAATTATTTCTTCTTCAAATTAATGAATGGATGAAGGGCCATTTTAGATGTCATAAAATTGTGTTTTTTTGAAGCCTCTACCCAAATCTAAAGAATCATTTCTGCTGACGCACGTACTTATTTATAAATTTCTTTTTAAATATTATATGTAGGTAAGAACAAAAAGGAAGTAACTCTCACACTGCTGGGGAATCTCGAACACTACGCCTGGAGTTCTTTTTATGCCATTTCTTTGGTACGCAAATATTTACAATCGAACTTTTACAAACCCATAATGGAGTTTAGCTCTTCTTGCCGGTGGCGGCTTCTGTTTGCCTAACCACTTTAAGGTCTGTGGCTGTTCAGCCTTTTAGCCTTTCACAGTTTCCGACTAATATGCAAATAAATTGTAAGCAGTCACCTGTCATGCTGGCTCTTCAAGTCCCTCAGTCTCGCTGTATCTGTATGCCACCAAAGTGGTAGAAAAACGTAGAGGAGACTGCAGTTTTGTGCCTAGGAAGCGATTGTACTGTGTCCCTCAAACAAAGTAGGCATTTGCACTTAAAAAAATATAATTTTGTTAATATATTGTTGTTGTGAAGACAGTTTTTGAGCTTTTAAAACAATAATAAAGGAAAGGACGGTGTATTATACTGTCCATAAATATTTAAACTATGGTATTTGGTATTTGGTATTTGGTAATGGTATTTGAATTAAAGTGATTTTGTTTTACATAAAAAAGATTTCTAATCAGAAACTACTAAGAAGGCTATCAGATATATTTTGAGTTCCCTGTCATTGAACTCAAAATTTAAATAGATAAATTAGATTATCAATGCGTGTCATTCGGATTGTGCACGGCTTCCTCTCTTCTGCAAATAGTTAATCTTAATGTAGGAAACTTAAAAAACTTCAACAACCAACGCGACCAGGTTGTTTTATTCGTTTTGTAACGATTTTAATGCCAAGCATAAACAATTATTTTGAATTGCAACACATTCTTTTTTTGTTCGCCATTTGCCATCGTTTGTTTTCAGTTTTCTGTTTTGTCTCTTATATTTTGCGTCGTGCGCAATCGGAATTGTAGATTTAAGATGTCGCAGATGTTCGGATGACTCGCTGGATGCACAAGATTTTCACATCCAATAGTTTGATGAGTCAGTCACTCAGGCGAGTACACAGTCAGTCAGTCAATCAGTCAATCGGATACTCAGGTAATTGCCAAGCCTGTCGGTAGCACGTGTCGACAGAAAAGTTGGTAAATTTCGCCCCCTTGCTTAAAGTTTTTGCGCTCCCTATAATGCAAAATAAATTTAACAAAAAGGTAGCCCGATCCTTTGTACAAATTCATTGCGCAAAAATCGATTCCCAATTCTTTGGAGTGCAGCAAAGGTAAAAGCGGTAAAGTGTTAATGGTCATTGTTCAAACAAGCGATCGTAATGATTACTCTGCCAACCATTATATAACAGAGATGTCGGCATACGACGAAAGCCTCAAAGAGGTACCAAAAAAAAGTAAAAATAAAAACATCGAAACGGAGGCAACTGAACTCCAATTGATTTTGTTGTATAATTTTTACAGCTTTATCTTGCCGGCAGCTGCATGAAATTTATTGAAGATGCGCTGTGCTTTATTGCCATTGGTTTTCGGCGAGGGAATTTGCTGTAATTTAATGACGCAGAGGAAATTTCGCAAGGGGAAAGACTTACGACACGAACTTTGGATTGCCTACGTCCCCTGGTCTAAAAGTATTGTTGGTGAAAAGTTGAATTAACTCATACATTTATGTTTTATTATGTATTATGTATATAAATTTTTTGTTATAATTTGTTATACCTTGCTTTTTTATTGAATTTTTTTAGAATTTAAATTAAATTCGTTTTTATTGTTTTCCATTTCGCTTTGCAATGTGTACACAGTTATCTAATAGGATACGTGAAGTGATCATGTAGTGAAATGCTAGAAATCTGCCAATTGTTTGACGATTTTTTGCAGAGAGCGAAAGTAAACTTGTCTTCTCCTTGTTGTAGTCATGCAAATTGAATAATACTAGCGAAATGTTGACAATTTGGTAGCCCCCGTGTTTCTGTTGCCTATTCCCCGCAGTGCACGTCTTGCAGCGGAGCAGGAAACATTTTGCAGCTCTCGGAGTTGCAATTGCGGATCTCGGCCACCGGCCATGAAAGAGGAAATCAATGTTGCAGCGGCGTCTGAAAGCAGAAAACCAAAATCAAAAAATACAAAACACAAAGCGGTGGGCACCCAAAAGCGAAAACTCACACGCTTTTGCTGCATAGCGAAAGCAGTTTCACTTGCTGGCCAAGCCAAATCCATTTGCCGGTTCGTAGTGTCGTAGTTATGAGTGCGACAGCAAAAGAAGCACAAGCTGCATCTACAGAGCAGTATAGACAACAAAATCTTGGAAATTGAAAAGATGTGTCACCCCGGACACTGCACTGAAAAAAAAGGGGTTGATCTACGTTCATCAATGGTTCACACCATCGACAAATAATATAACCGTCCTTATAGTTCGTTAGATTATTCTGATTATATGTATATTATATGGCGCTGTCTTTCTTTACTTTAAAGCTGTCCTTCTATACGTTCGATGTTATGTATCGGTGCTTTATTTATTGTGCCAAGGGGCTAAAATACCAAATAACCAATTTCTGCTGTAATTTTGTAAATAATAGATCTGCTTAGTGCACGCGAGAAGAGAAGAGAAGAAACAAGTGAAATGCGCAACACGAAAAGGAAAGCGTAGAGCGAGAGTTGCAACTGCATCTCATACCAATGTAATTCGATTGCACTGCGTCAAACGAGTTTCCCGCTGATCAAAAGCGCGTAAAGTGCCCCCTCCCTCGAAATTAGTTTTGTTGGTTAGCTATTTTTCACAATGCGCAGTTATTAAATCTCTTCGATAATATTAGCGAACGAAAAGCAATCATAATTGTATGCTGTATGTAGTATGTTGTATGTTGCGTGTTCGGTGTTTAGGCGGTTGCTGTTGTTGCCGATGTGGCTTGCTTCCTGTCATTTGATGTCATATAGCTAATATGCAACTCATTTGAATTTGTATTATGTTGCAGCATTTGAATGGTAATGTTGTTGCTTCTAATTAATGCTTGTTGTTGGCACATCAACAAATTTGCCAACAAATGTTTGCACAACACTTTTTCAAACTTAAGAAAGGCTGAACACCACTGTTCACCACTGTTTATTAATTGTTGTTTATAAAAGAATATTTCATGTTTTCATACTTCGAATAATTATAACTAATTGATTTAAAATGTAGTAAGATTATTTGGTTCGTTTTAAAGAAGTTTTAAAGATTAAAAAACATATCTAAACGTTACACAAATATTCACATAGTAAGGAAGCGGAGGTTCATGCCAAATATATATAATCATTTCAGCGACTGACGCAAGATGATGTTGCAAACTGGCAACTAAGCAACAACAACATCGACATCCAGCGAAGAGTGTCATTGACTAATGTTGCATGCAGCGCATAAAGCTGGTAAAAGGTAACCGCAATAACCAAAAATTCAATCTACGGAAACCCAAGACCGAAACAATAGAACCAAATTTTTTAGCTAAGCGCAAAAAGACTTGGAGATGATCTAAGTCCGGACCACACTTAAATAAACAAATTCATAGTATTATATTTATGTAAAATTGATTACTTAATTATTCATAATTCTTACTTCAGAGCATGTAATTTAAAACACGTATGTCAAC